AAAAAAAAAAAAAAAAAAAAAAAAACCACACAAAACATAAAAAGTAGCACAGAGCATTTAATTTGTTGCCTTAGTTTAAAACTGTACTCATTATTTAGAAACGAATCCACCGTCCTGTAAATGTCATTATCACGACATATAAAAATACAGTAATACAATATGAATATGTTATTCAGTGAGCTGAAGCATTTTACAAACTGCTCAACTAAAAAGTTAATTTTATTGTCTGCTAGAAACACTTTGGATATCTGACTGTGATGTGCCGGGACAGGACAGACAGGCAGCTCTCGGCCACAGCCACCGCCTCACACGAGGGCCTTGCTCCTGCAGGCTCCCAGGTATTGTCACCGGCTTTCACAAGAGTCGCGACTTCAAATAGAAAATGCCTTTTGGTTTTACACACACATGGGCGTGCACAAACACGCCATATCATTCAGAATCATTTCAGTTTTTCATAAAGTTAAGCCTCAACTCAAAAGTGAACTTTTTGGAAAGCACGTGCAGCTGCTGTCTATTCCTCCAAATGAGACCTAAATGGAAAACAAACAACCTCGAAAACCAGATATCAAAAATGCCAGCTCAAATCAGCCTATCCTTGCCAAAAAATACTGGAGGCAATATATTTACATTATTTTGCTATAAAGTACAGTTATACTTCTCCATTGACTAAAAAGGATACTTAAATTGTTCTATATTTATCTGTGCACTAGTAGATATTATTTCCTATCAACTTACAGGGGTCTAACAAAGAAATTTGATATTACCTTTAAAGATTGTCTCTTAGTCACATAATTCTCAGACTGAAGCAATTTCTCATAGTCTTCAAAAATCTAATGAAAAGAAAAGAAACGTCAGTGTACAGAAGCAGCAGGACCACACAGTGAGAGCACCAGGTCTCATTACTCCCCAGGAGGCCTGTGCCCAGCACCTCTGCCTCCCCTATCTGAGGTGGCCCCACTGTTCGCCGGTATGGAGACCAAGGGAGATGGGAGGCACACGTCTCTACTTAATTTTAGTACTACAAGTTAGGAATTGAGTAAAAAATTGCATAATTTTGATCCTCCAAATCATTCTGATAAGCCATCTATTAAAAATTGCACTATAACTCACTTTGTGACATCTTTAAAGAAATATGTTTCTGTAGCCATGGGTCCACAAACAATTTGGGAAAATATTAAATACACTTAGGGCTTCACCTGACAACACATAAAGAATCAAGACTGCTAAATTCATAGCGTGAACAGATAAGGTGTGAGGTGACACTGGCTGCCTGACCAGTGGCCATCCTAACCCCACTGGCCCCTCGGAAGCACTTCTGAATTCACAGAAGCTACTGGCACTGGTGCATGTGACCTGCTGTGTCCTAACGTAGTCTTCAGCTCAATGAAGAGCTGAAGGCCTTCAGCTCAATGCTGGGGAGTCTCCGCAATCTACCTCTACCACCTGCAGGCACGTTGCTCAGAGACCACTACAATGGAGGAGCAAGTGGCAGGATGAAGGTGAAAGAGTTCAGGAAGCAGAGGACAGAAAGCAGTCATGGCCTCAAATAGCTGAACGAGAGGGGTGGGTGTGCACCTGCCTATGAGGGCAAGGGCTGCACACTCAAGATAACTACTGATTAAAAAATGAAGAAGTGAGCCTAAGTGCTGGGGGATGCCTGTGGTCCCTGGAACTTGGGAAGCTGAGGCAGGAAGATCATTTGAGTGCCTGAATTTGAGACCAGGGCAGGCAACATAGCAAGACTCCATCTTAAAAGAAGAAAAGTAAGAAGTTTAAAAAAAAAAAAAAGCTCATATTAAAGTCACATTATTACATTCTGTTACATGGATGATGTTTATTCTATCCTCAGACACAAGGGGGATTTCATGGATCATTAAATTTATCAGACAAATAATAAACTGTGATAAATTTTCATTGAAACTAAAATATAATTACATGCGAAAGGTGTGAGTGACTCCCCATTTCTGAATAAATAGTGCAAAATGAGAGAGCAAGTGTTTGGGGAGGGGAGTGATTAGGGAAAGCTTCCTTGAAAAGTGAAATTTTAGACAAATACCTAAAGGATGAATTGGGTTCACCTTGGAAGAAGAGGATTGGAAGACACTGGTTGGTATTTCTAATAGTAAATAAAGCTAGTTTGGTGAAGGTGAAATATTCTTTGACTGGGGCTACCTACTGCCCCTTAAGAGCAACATAGCCATTCTTTTCCTTCTTGTAGTGGTAGGGTTCAAACCAGGGGCCTTGTGCATGCCAGGGAGGCAAATGCTCCAACACTGAGATACATCCCCAGCTTCTGGGTTTTCTTTTTTGTTTGTTTTGAGCCAGGGTCTCGCTATGTAGTTTAGGCTTGTCTTGAACTCACTCTGCAGCCTGGGCTGGCCTTGAACTTACAGCAATCCTCCTGCCTCAGCCTCCCCAGTACTAGAACACAGGTATGTGCCCCCATGCCCACCTTGGGTTTTCTTAACTCAAGATCAAAGTAAGCAGATTGTGGTCATTTATTAGCTCTCCACAACACAAAAGGAAGAGATGTGAAAAATGACAAAATCCTGACCTATTATCAGTCTCAATTTCCCACAAACCAACCAGAAGTATGATTAAGTTTGGTTGCTTTCCCTTGTGGATAACAAAGAGGGGCAATTTCTCAAAGATCTAAGAGATGGAAAAGAGGAAGACAGAAGAGTATAAAGTCTTAAAAATGATTTCTACTTACAGTGTCATAATTTTGTTCTAAGAAGTCCGCTACCAATACTTTATGTCTGGTTAGTAAATCCTAGAAAGACAACAACCAAGTGAAACAAAATTATTATGGCAAATAGATTTTACAATTTTGTAAATTTTAAAAAGTAAATCTTTTTCTTCTAAAGTTGCTAAGTCGATTCATCTGAAACTTGCAAAACATGCAAAAGTTGCAAAAGAATATTTTCACTGATACCAAAAAATTATTTCCATCCCTACTTTAGTTTAAAATGTAAAATACTTTGTTTTTTGGTACTGGGGATCAAACTTGGGACCTTGCACTTGCGAGGGAGGCAAAGAACCACTAAGCTAAATCCCCGGCCTTGAAATACTTGTTTCAGGATAAAAATAACAACAAAACACCTGATGTTAAATCTTGTGTTTTAAATTCATATTGTTGTTAGTTTTATAAAATAAATACTTTAAATAATAAAACAAATGGCACCTAAGAAACAAGTTGGTAGGCTGGGGATTTGGCTCAGTGGTTCCACCACCTGCCTCACAAGCACAAGGGCCCAAGTTTAATCCCCAGTACTAAAAAAAAAAAAAAAAAAACGAGAGAGGAACAAGTTAGTAGTGTATTTCATCAAGCTATTCGCTCTACATTGTGATTATGATAATAATTGTAATAAAGTTTACAAAGATCTTTTTCAAATGTCATTAGTAACTAATCTTTTGTGTGTGTGTGTGTGTGTGTGTGTGGTTTTTCATTTCCTAATTTTCAGATGTGATCCTGCTATGTTGTTCAGGATGGTCTGGAACTCCTGCTGCTCAAGTAACTGTCCTGCCTCTGTTTCCTATGTGCTGGGATTACAGGTGCATTACCACAGCACCTGGCTCTATTTATTTTTTTTCTTTCCCACACCCCCACCACTTCTTTTGTGGCACTGGCTTAAACAAGAATTCAGAATAGCTTAAAACTTTATCTCACAAATAAATTTAACAGATTTTCAAAGATTTTAGCCTTTCATTTTTCCCCCACGACCATTTTTAAATGGTGTTCAAGGACTCCGGGAAGCACAGGAATGACATGCGTATTGTTCTGCTCTCTGGCGAATGGGTTGTGAGGCATTTGCGCAAGTATGCTCAGTAGCATAATGTAGGCTTTCAAAGTCGGAGAGAACCATACCTATCTTATGACCGATAAAAACTTGGAGAAAATAGCATAACAGCATGAAGGGACTTTTCACAACCTATAATTCACACCTAAATTATATCTTTATTTTTACTTTAATATTGAAAGAAAACACAGCACACCTAGTCCCTTTATATGTTTAGAGGCTAATTCTCTGCTCAGGCGCTGTGCAGAATTTAATTAAAAGCAAGAATTTTCAAGTTTTTCAAAATAAAGTCTTATACTTTAATACTTATTTAATTAAAACTCACCAAAAGCTCATGGAAGATATAGACTGAACTTCACAAAGGAAAAGCAGGCAGCAGCCCACTGTAAAACCCACTTCTATTTTGTTTTATTTCTAAAGAGGTGTAAAGGGATTTATTAGGCAAATTTTAAAGTGCACACTCCAATAAAGGAGTGTGGGCCCTCAAGAGAGATGTAGTACAGTCTGGAGCTCGGAATATTTATGTGTGTTTCTGGAGGTGAAAATCTGGGGAATTTGTTGGTTTATGAGAAGCATGTACCACCGTTGAGAGATAATGGCCCATTTTATAGGTAAAAGGATGGCTGACTCTACAGGAAAAAGTAGGGCAAGTCTATTTTATTTGTTTAAGATGGGTGATGTAAGATATTTTGCTGAAAAAACTTTCTTTGAAATCTTTGTTTCTCTGTCTTAAGGTCAGTTTATCAACTAAACTAATTTATGGGCTTATATAGGGAGCTCACTATGTAGCCCAGGCTGGTCTTGAACTCACAGATCCTCCTGCCTCAGCCTCCCTAGTGCTGGGATTACAGGCGTGCGCCACCACGCCCAGCTTGAACCATCATTTTTTGATATTCTGGAAAAGAAGACAAGGACAATTGCAAATCATTGATGCTTAAGCTTTATTTTATAACTATGTTAAATAAGCATGGGCCAAAATTTCAAAGTAGAATACTGGTGGATAAAGGCTCCAAGAGGTTGCTACTTATTGCTGTTTTAATAATAAGAAAAAGTAAAACAGTTAAAGTATTTTACACTATTTGTTGTAGTGTATTTTTAATTGACATATATGTTGACCCTGTACAATATGATGTTTGGAAATATGTGACACTGTGGAATAACTTGGATTGTTTTACCAGTGCTGGGGATCCAACCTAGGGCCTCACATGTTAAGCAAGCTCTACCACTGAGCTACACCCTCAGCCCTTGGCTTGGACCTTAAATGTCCCCAAAACCACATAGCTATTGGGACTGAAAGAGCCTTGTTTTCATTTTTGGAGATGGGCCTTGCTATGTTGCCTAGGCTGGCTTCATATTCCTGATCTGAAGAAATCTACCTGTCTCAGCCTCTGAGTACCTGGGACAGCAAGAGGGGTGGCTGATTGTACATAGCTGGTTCAGATGGTGGAATCTTTTAAGAGGTGAAACCTAGGTAGAGAGACTGGGTCCCTGGAGGTCACTGGGCCCTGGGCCCTTGAAGGAGATGTTGGGATTCTACCCTCCGTTCTCTCTGCCTCCAGCAGCAATGAGGTGGGCAACTTTGTTCCACCACATTCCCCACCATGTTCAGCCTCCTCACAAGCAAATGACCCAGCTGACTATGATTCAAAATAGCACAGATAGCACTTTTGGGGCTGAGGAATTCACTCTTCTCCACCCAGTTGAGCTCCAACACTACTCTAAAGCTATGCCTCCCTAATCACTCCACCCACTTGAGCTCATGCTACCTTAGGAGCGTTCCATATAATCCAAACCAAAGCACACGCAGTCTCTTTGTTCTTCTCTTGCTCTTGAGCCCAAGAGTCTGATTTATCTGCACAGTGTGCACTGCGCACGTTTGTCCCCAGCACCATTTTTCTGTGACTATCAGTGAATGTGGCGGCTTTGCCCTCACCATGGAGTGTACGCTTTGCAATTCTTTGCTTGCCAAACAAGAGGACTTGGAATCTATTAATCAGATCCGCCACATGGTAACAAAACCTTTGAAGCTGTGAGTCAAAATAAAATTTAAAATGTTTATCTCAGTATTTTATCACAGCTACAGAAAGCTAACACGCGGCCCAAAGGAGCGAATTAGGCTCCATGTTACCTCACATTTTGTGCGTGTGTGTGTGAGAAGACAAAATCTACTCTTATTGATTTCCAAAACATAGCCACACATGGTGGTACCCGCCTGTCATCCCAGCACTTGGGAGTCTGAGGCAGGAGGCTTTCTGTGCATCAGATGCCAGCCTGGGCGACACAGTGAGTTCAAGGCCAGCCTGAACTACAGAAGACTCATCTCAAAATAATCAACCACAAAAAACATTATGGACAACCATAGTCATCAGGTTGTAAGACAGATCTTTTGAACTTATTCCTCCACACTAACTGAAATTTTGTATCTGCTGACCAACATCTCCTTACCCTGACCCTAGCCCCAGCAGTCACCTTTCTGCTCTCTGCTTCTATGAGATGAAATTTTTTAGATTCCATATGTGAGTGAGATCGCTGGTATTTGTCTTCCCATGCCTAGCTTATTTCACTTAACATTATATCCTGTAGGTTCATGTGTACTGTCACAAATGATAGGATTTCCTTACGTTTTTGGTTGCACAGTATTTCATTGCATATACACATATATATATATATATATATATGCAGGAATGAAAATATCTAGCCCCAGCAGTCACCTTTCTGCTCTCTGCTTCTATGAGATGAAATTTTTTAGATTCCATATGTGAGTGAGATCGCTGGTATTTGTCTTCCCATGCCTAGCTTATTTCACTTAACATTATATCCTGTAGGTTCATGTGTACTGTCACAAATGATAGGATTTCCTTACGTTTTTGGTTGCACAGTATTTCATTGCATATACACATATATATATATATATATATATGCAGGTGAATGAAAATATATAAATATATATACTTATATATAAATATATTTTATGTATTATTTATAATAAATGTTTATTATTTATATATTTTTAAGTCCATTCATCTGTAAATGGACATTTAAGTTAATGCCACACATTGGCTTTATTGTGAATAATGCTGCAATGATTATTCTTCAATATGCTGACTTCATTTTCTTTGGAGTAGGACTGCTGCATAACATGGTAATTATATTTTATATTTTGGGGGGAACCAATATACTGTTTTCCATGATGGCAGATTAACATTCCAACCAACAGTGTACAAAGGCTTCCTTTTCTCCATTATCCTTCTTTGCCAGCTCTTAGTATCTTCCTTGGAGGGTAGTGTATGGAGGGTTGATCCAGGGGTGTTCCACCACTGAGAAACATCCGAGCCTTTCTTACTTTAAAGACCAGAGTCTTGGCCAGGCATGGTGGCCTGCTCCTCTAATTCTGGCACTTTGGAGAGCTGAGGCGGGAGGATCAAAAGTTCAAACCTAGTCTGGGCAACTTAGTGAAACATTGTCTCAGAAAAGGGTTAGAGATGTAGCTCAGTCTGGCAAAAGACCCGAGTTCAATCCCCACTATGGAGGGGTGTGGTGGGGACAGAGTTTCACTTACCTTGTCTGACTGGCTTTGAACTTAGTATCCTTCTGCCTCAGCCTCCCAAGTATCCTTTTTGTTTTTTGAGACAGGGTCTCACTCTGTAGTGAGACTGACCTGCAACTCACTATGTAGACCAGGCTGGTCTCAAACTCAGCAATCCTCCTGCCTCAGCCTCCCAAGTACTGGGATTACAGGTGTGCACCACCATGCCCAAGTGTGACCACACCCAGTTCTTTTTTTTTTTATAATACCCATTGAAACAGGAGATATCTCATGGTTTTATAATTTTCAAATTAAAAAAGAGGGAGCCTAGCCCTTAATCTTCTACTGCCAATCATCACATAATTTGAGTAGCCACTGTGGCTCTCTTTGAAAATGTGGTGCTTTTTTTCAGTGAAATTGAGCAGTTGGAACTGTTCTAACAGAACT